TAAGTAATTTACTTCTGGCATTCCATTACAGTGACAAGAATGCTAACACAAAATTGGTACTGGAGAAATTGGGTCATTGTTGTGACTAAACCTGAACATATGGTTTTTATGTCTTTGGAACTATTTTTTGGGAAGAATTTGGAAGAGATTGAAGACATGGGCTAGAGGAAGCCTAGGAAATGGAAGCAGAGTTTAATGACCATTCTGAAGGGAGTTCTCAGATTACCAGAATGCCATTAAAATTCAAATGGTGAAGACTATACTCATAAAGATTAAAATGGGAACAAGGTCCCTACTGCAAACTGAACTGGAGTCTATGTTACAGTCTGGCAAGAAGATGCATACATTTTGTCCATGTTATGAAACTTCATGGGAAGCTGAGTTTAAAGCTGCCATACTAATTAATTTGGTGCAGAAACTATAAAGACAACATAGAATTCAGGATGTAGTGTGGTTATTGCTGGCTGCCTTTAGTCAACTCTATAGTGAGAATTGGGAGCAGAAAGCAGAGCATAAAGATTTGAAACACAAGCAGTCTGGCTGGCAAACAAGAGTTCAAAGTTGTGGACAAGAGGTGTAGGTATTGAAGAGTTTAATGTCACTATAGAAGCCAAACATTTTGTTCTGCTTCAATAGAACGGACACTTTGAGGGCATCCCAGGAATTGGCTGGACCCCTCCCATTTCAAGGGATAAAATTATAAACTCATTTGAAAATTTTTTCCTTGAGAACAGAGGCTACCAGGGTATGTTGCTTGCATGGGGTGATCACGGGAAATGGTTTCTTAGCTTTTGCTTCACAGAGACTCACAATCCACTGCTGTCCCAGTCCAATGGGTCTTGATACTGCTTGAGCAAGCAATATACCTTGGTATTTTCCATGTGATTTTGTTTTTACAGGCATGTAAAATGCAAAAATTATAAGATGATGAGTCTTCCACTTTGATTATAAAAGAGGGCCTGGATGCCTGATGATGTGTGACAAAGTCAAGTTCCCTGAATTAAGACCTTGAGAAAGCAATTCATGAAGCTGTAAAGGTGAAGTCAAAGGTGCAATGGAGATCCCACGAAGTAAGAGATATCAGAAACATGAAATATGTGCTGAGCAAAGCCACAGAAAATTAGTAGATATTGAGGAGGTTGGGGGGAGAGGGACGGGGTGGAGTGGGTGGTAAGGGAGGGGGTGGGGGCAGGGGGGAGAAATGACCCAAGCCTTGTATGCACATATGAATAATAAAACAATAAAATAAATAAATAAATAAATTCAAAAAAAAAAAAGAAAATTAGTAGAAGCATTAGAGGATAGAGGCCATGTGGATTGCAGCTAGGAAGACCACAGGAACATGGGTGCTCTACACAATGGAACACACATCATGGACAGCATATGGAGTTACAGGATTTAGTGTTTGCTCATTTTCATTCTTGCTTTGGTCCAATCCTTCCTTGTTATTCTCCTGCTCCTCCATTATGAATGAGTTATATATATACTTTATCGTTGTTGGGAATGTATAAATTACTTTTGGCTTTTACAGAGGCTCAGAGCTAAGAAAAACATTGAATCTCACAGGGGACTTTGTACTTGAACTTTTGGATAATACTGAAACTATAAAGACTATGGGGATTCATGGACATGGACTGAAAGCATTTTGCATTATTAGATGGACATGAGTCTTTTGTGAGCTAGGGGTGGAAGGCTTAAGGAGATGTGTTTTCCTGTTACGTTGACAAGGGTGGTGGAATTGTGATGATTAATTTTGATTGATAACTTTATTATATTAAGAAACACCTAGGAGATTTGTAAAGTACACCTTCTGTGTGTCTGTGATGGCATTTCCAGAGACACTTACATCATGAAGGTTCTGACCTAATGAAAAGATTAATCAAAATTCATGGATTCATATAATGAAATTATTGGGAAGGAGGGAAAAGTAGGAGCTGGAGCCTGGGTGAAGGAAGTAGGTCATGGGAGGTGTGTCCTTAGGGACTATATCTTGCCCCAATTTCTTCCTATATTCATGGCCACAATGATGTGAACTGCTCTGCTTCTCCATACCCTCCCAGACATTAAAGGACCAAATTTTCTGAATCTATGAACAAAAATAAATCATTCCTTTGTTAAATCATTTAAGTCAGGCATTGTGTCATAGTGATGAGAGAACTAACTACAGTAGATGGATGTAATACTAGGAGTTGGGCAATAAAACTAACATATAGCTTTCGATGTGGAAAGATAGGAGGTAAATGAGGAAAGAAATACTATGTAAAGATATTTCCATCTTAACTGTTATTTCTCACACTATCTACATATGTATACTTGTTTCCTAAGGTCCAGCTTGGGGGACAAAGGTAATTTCAATTTTCTGTGTTTCACATCTTAACTGGTTTTTTATTTTGTTTTGTTTTTTATTTTAACCATTGTGAAAAATTTATTTTTTTATTCACTTATTCATATGTTCATACATTGTCTGAGTCATTTCTCCCCCCGACCCCCACCCCCTTCCTGTATCCCCACTTGCTTCAGGCAGAACCTGTTCTGCCATCTCCAATTTTGTTGAAGAGAAGACATAAGCAATAAGAAAGAAAAGGCATTTTTGCTAGTTGAGATAAGGATAGCTATACAGAGAGATTCCTGGCATTGCTTCCATGCACAAGTGTGTTACAACCTGAATTGATTCATCTCTACCTGGCCTTTTCACTAGTTCATGATCACGTTCCCATACGAACTTCTGTCACTTTAAGGTTTCTGTATTAGTTCCTCTGCAGTGGGGACATCAAACACTTTCAAGTTTTGGGTTTCCTACATATCCCCATTCCTCCCTTATATGCTGTCCCCTTAGCATGTGACCCAGGTTCAGCAACATTGCTGTATTTGGCCTAACTCTAAAGTCCACATATGAGGGAGAACATATGATTTTTGGTCTTCTGAGCCTGGCTAACCTTGCTCAAAATGATGTTCACCAGTTCCATTCATTTACTTGAGTATGTTAAGATTTCACTGTTCTTCATGGCTGAGTAAAACTCCACTGTGTATAAATACCACGTTTTCTTAATCTATTGGTCTGTAGTGGGGCATCTTGGCTATTTCCATGACTTGGCTATTGTGAATAGCACTGCAATAAACGTGGTTGTCCAGGTGCCTTTGGAGTAACCTGTGTTGAATTCACTTGGGTACATCCCCAGGAGTGGGATTGTTGGATCATATGGCAGATCTATGTTTAGATTTTTAAGAAGTCTCCATATTTTTTTCCAGACTGGTTGTACTAGCTTGCATTCCCACCAGCAGTGTATGAGGGTTCCTTTTTTCCCACATCCTCACCAATACCTGTGGTTGGTGGTGTTTTTGATGATAGCTATTTTAACAGTGGTGAGGTGGAATCTTAGTGTGGTTTTGATATGCATTTTCTTTATGGCTAGAAATGGTGAGCATTTTTTCATGTGTTTTTTTGGCCATTAGAATTTCTTCTTTTGAGAAAGTTCTATTTAGTTTATTTGCATTTTTTTTATTGGTTCCTTGATTTGGGGAGAGTTTAGTTTTTTACGTTCCCTGTATATTCTGGTTATCAGTCCTTTGTCTGATGTATAGTTGGCAAATATTTTCTCCTACTCCGTGGGTGGTCTCTTCAGTTTAGAGACCATTTCTTTTGTTGTGCAGAAACTTTTAATTTTAAGAAGTCCCATTTGTCCATAGCTTCTCTTAGTTGCTTAGCTGCAGGATTCTATTGAGGAATTCCTTTCCTATTGCTTCCAGAGTATTCCCTGCTCTTTCCTATAATAACTTCAGAGTTTTGGGTCTGATATTAAGGTTTCTGATCCATTTTGAGTTGATACTAGCATAGGATGTTAAACATGGATCTAGTTTCCGTTTTTTGTAGATAGATAACCACTTTTCCCAGCAACATTTGTTGAAGAGGCTGTCTTTTCTCCATAGCATATTTTTGGCACCATTATCATAAATATCTTGGCACTGTTGGGCATAACTGTGTGGAATCATATCCAGGTCCTCTATTCTGTTCTACCACTCTTCATGTCTATTTTTTGTGCCAGTACCAAGCTGTTTTTATTGCTATGGTTTTGTAATATAGTTTGAAGTCAGGTATTGTGAAACCGCCAGCATTGCTCTTTTTGCGGAGTATTGCCTTGGCTATTCACGGTCTCCTGTGTTTCCAAATGAACTTTAGGGTAGATAATAATCAATCCCTGTGATGAATGTCTTTGGGATTTTGACGGGAAGTGCATTAAACATGTAGATTGCTATTGGTAGTACAGCCATTTTTACTATGTTGATTCTACCAATCCAAGAGCATGGGCGATCTCTCCACCTTATGTAGTCTTCCACAATCTCTTTCTTCAGGGGTTTGTAATTCTCCTTGTAGAGAAGAACTACATTCACACCCTTTGTTAATTTACTCTCAGTATTTGATTTTTTTATGAGGCTATTGTAAATGGAATTGTTTCCATACATTCTTTCTCAATTTGTTTGTTGTTAGTGAACAGAAATGCTAGATTTTTGTCAATTGATTTTGTTTCCTGCCACCTTGCTCTAGCTGTTTATGGTGTCTAAGAGTTTTTGGGTAGAGTTTTTTGGGTCTTTAAGATAATAGGATAATAGGGTAATGTCATCTGCAAATAGGGATATTTTGACAGTTTCTTTACCTATTTGTAGTCCTTTTATTTCTTCTTCTTGCCTAATTGCTCTGGCTAAGACTTCCAGTACTATCTTGAATAGGACTGGGGAATAGTGGGCACCCTTGTTTCATTCCTCATTTTAGGGGAAATGGTTTTATTTTTTCTCCATTAAGTATGATGTTGGCTATAGTTTAGTCATATGTATCCTTACAATGTTGAGATACTTCCTCTCATTCTTAGTTTTCTTAGAGCTTTTATCATGAAGTGGTGTTGGATCTCATGATTGTATTAGGACTTAGAAGAAAGTAGTGACTCCTCTGATTTCAGTTGGCAAAATGGAAATGTTAGTTACAGACAAAAAGAGAGACAGTTGCCATGATTAAGCTGGTTGGTTGGCAAGAAATTAGGAAGTTGTGGAAAATGAGAATGCCCAAGAGCAACCTGAAGGTATTTCTCTGAACTCATAGGAGACTAAATCTTTGAAAACCCATAAATTGCTACAGTAGAAATTACTGGTGAGATTATTTTTGATAAGAAGTATGTCTGTGGCTTAGATATTAATAACTTGCTCATGAGATAAAATGGAAGTTTGTTTTCTAATTTTAGAGAAATGGCACCTGCCATAGACACCATCTACATTATCTTCAGTTATCTGTCTTCTAGATAATTCTTATCTATCTATCTAGCATCTGTTGTAAGTCACATTTTGGAGACAACTATATATATTTTCTTCTTCCTACAACAAATCTAACTCTTCCTTGTGTTTTGTGAAACTTGGGTTTGAGTTCATGACATATACCTAGAGCCACTCCACCATCCCGTTTTTGTGAAGGGTTTTTTCAAGGTAGGGTCTCACAAAGTATTTGCCAAGACAGGATTTGAACTATGATCCTCCTGAACTCTGCCTCTTTAGTAGCTAGAATTAATTGTTCCTAACAGTACAGGTGCCTGGCTTGTTCTTTTTACCATTCATACTACAGTTACAACAACCTTTCTAATCCCGCACTTACATTATTTGTGTTTCCATAATATATCATGAAAACAAACTTGTGTGTTAAGAAAGAACTCTGCAGATCCCTGACAATTATTCAGCCTCAAATGTTACCTGTCTCTAACTTTTATCATTAGCAGATGGCTATCTAGTTTCACTGCAATGCTTTGAATATATTCTCTCTCAGTTTTAGATCTTTTCAGACATTATGCTCTCAATCTCCTTCACTTAAAAAACTAGTAATTGATTTTCAAAACAAGTCAGGCTCATTTTCTCTGAAAACCTTTTGTTACCTTACAGATTGAATTAGGTAACATTTCCAATGAGTTCCAGAAGACTTAAATTTAAATATATCAGATTATGCTACAGTCACTTGCTTACTTCACTGATATCTCATTAAAAATAAATTTTAATTTAGTAATAATAACAGCAAGCACTGCATTCAATATATTTGAAGGTTCCTATTGTAGAAATCAATATGTGGTTGGAAGAAAGGACTCAGTGTATGTTTTATAAATAAGTGAATGAATAATGAATAAAAATGAATCTGCATTCTATTATTTAATTAGCTGTTGTACAAAGGGAAGTAACTCTGTAGGCTGGCTCAGAATCCAGGCCTAGCTAAGGCCTGGAACTTTAAGGAATTTTAAGCAATGCCATAATCCTCAACTCTCATGTCAACCTTATTTCTAATTTTGCCAGTGCAATTTAGGCTTTACCTATCCATATTTAGGTTTCCTTCTTCATGCCTGAAAGGTCCTCCAGTTGGTTATTCATAGTATTTCATAATTCTTGATATTCTTCCTCAAAAAGATTGTGTCCTAGGCCATCTACTAAAATTCCTCATAATATCTGACAGATTTTCTTCAGCTTCAAATACTTGTCTTTTTGTATTTTCAGTTTTAAAATATCCCAGCAATGGCCATCACTGTAATATTTTATAGAAACAGCATCATTTCCCCAAGATACATATATAAATGTTCAAGGAGAAAAGACAAACTCAGGTCATTCTAACAACATCTGTGCTAATATGGGTAATCTTTAAAAGGTAAGATGTTAAAAATGAAAGATGAGAAAAACAGAAAAATAAAGAATGAGGGGAGTGAGAAGGAGGAAGAGGAATGGGAGATCTGATCTTATGTAAAGGAAAAACAGTTCATCATAAAGCATTAGGAGTGCTGTTACTTGCTTATATTCTTATCTGTGTGAAACGTGCAGGAGTGTATCTAATTCCTGACTCAAACCAAGCACTGAAATAACTACAGCTCGCTCCTGAAAACCAATTAGTAATTAATACATATATCTAGTCTCTTGTGATAAAAATTCATCTTACTCTGAAATATTAGAAATTAAGCAGCCAATTAAACACATGAAGCTTTTAGGAAGGCTTTTAAAATCTCATACAAACACTTTAGAATTAAAATTGGAATGGTAATTTTATACATACAGTTTAGAATTGAGGAAATTAATGACATTGATGATGATATGGCAATGTTTGACTTTATTTAAAAGATAATTTGGAAAAATGATCCTTGAACATATGCTATATGAGTTGCATTGAAATGTGAAGATCTTATTTGCTTATGAAAAAAAAATTAAATAATTTAATATAGAACAAAAATGAATGTTTTATTTGTGAGGCATCAAAATTTAGAATGCAAAACTACTTTCAAGAAAATATTTAAAAGTAAAACTTGTTATAGAGATCCAAGATGGTGACTGGGACACAACCGCAGTCTGTGTGCGCTCCACGAACCAGGGACTTAGCTGAGATGCTAGAGACATACTTGCCTGAGGGAAAGCACAAGGGAGAACTCAAACATCAGCACTCTGAACCCCTAGCTCGTGGAAGACTTCTCTGTGCCATGATTTACTAAAAGAACACCTAACGCTACACACTAAATCCCACTCCATACACCCACGGTGCCACTGCTGTGCAGGCCATTAGATCTCTGATCCTCCTGCCTTGCTCCTCAGCCCCGCCAGGGCTGTGCTACCCAAAACTCCCACCCCTCAGACTCACATGATTTCCTCCAGACTGTTCCTCAAATGCCTGCCAAGCTGGCAATCCACAGGCACCCACAACCTCCACTCTGCCGGCCCCTGCCCTTAAGCCTTGAACAGGCCTACACAATCTCTGCTCTGCAGGGTTGAGCCCCTAAAACTTGCCAAGCTGGCGATCCACAAACATTCAAGTTCTCCACCAGGCAACGTCCCTCAGACCTGCACAGACCTGCACAATCTCCCTTGGGCAGTGCCCCTAAGGCCTGCCAAGCCTGTGATCCACAGACATTCACAATCTCCACCGGGCAGCACTCCTTAGGCCTGCACAGGCTGGCACCTGCTGGGCTGCGCCCCTCAGGCCTGCCTGGTTGGCGATTCACAGGCACACATGATCTCCACTCCACCAGGTCCATGGCCTCCAGGAATACCAGGCCTATGCTCCAAAAGCCTGCTAGATCACCTCAATGACAGGTATCCAACCCCAGTCCTGTGGGACCCACCCACCTGCCACCCACCACAGGAGGGCTCCAAATCTACCTAGGAAACACAGACAGGTCTAGATACTAAAGGAATAACAGCAGAATTACTAAGACTGAAGTTCCACTGTTACTGAACCTGTGATTTCATTTTTATTTTATTTATTTATTTATTTATTGTCTGCCTTCCTTTAAAGATTTGGCTGTCTGGTTTGCTCTTTGATCATCCACCATCTTTCCCTGCTGTTTTCTTTGGTACTCACTTTTTTTCTTTTTTCTTTTTTTTTTTCTTCTACTTCTTCTTTCTCTATATTCTCCCTCTTCCTTGTTTTCCTTAGTTTCACTATTGTAATTCAGCTAGCACTAAATTACACATAGTCCAGGGACAGAAATGGTACCAAGTGGAAACATGGGAAGATGAAAAAGGGATCTTCCTTTTTCTCCCCCCAAAATAAATTAATACAGGATTCAGAGGGAAATTAAAAAAACATATACCCCGTTCCAGACTCCAAAAAAAACAAAGGTAAACTACATCAAGAAACCCACCAAAGCCCACAATAACAACCCAAAAGAAGAAATCCTGCAAGTAATCACTGAGAATTTCATGGAGATATTACCAGACATGGTTAACCAAAACACACAAGAGGCACTCAAGGAATTCCAAGAGGACAAAAATAAAGAATATGAGAAAGCACAAAAACAAATAAATAAATAAAATCATGGAGCCCTAAATAAAAACCAAAATGAAACAGAAAATACCATGAATACAGAGATAAATTAATTAAGGATGAAAATTGACAATATTAAAGAGGAAGTACCCACGACATGGAAAACCACAGAAAAAAGAATGAAACAGAAATACAAAGGAAAATGAAAGGCCATTCCAGCAGAATAAAACAAACAGAAGAAAGAATTTTAAAACTTGAAAATGAAATGGTAATTAAAGGAAAAACTGAAGAGCTATTAGTCAAACAACTTAAGACCTATGAAAGGAATATGCAAGAACTTACTGACTCCATTAAAAGACCAAACCTGAGAATAATTGGGCAGGTGCTGGAGTTTCTCAGATCTCTGTGTCCAGCTTTAGTAGCTGGGGATCTGGGGGCCTAGCTGGGTGGACTGTTGCGGGTCTGGCAAGAATAAGCAGCATCCAAAGTGAGAAGGAGACCATGCAGGACTGAATGACTACCTGGCCTCCAACCTGGATAGAGTGAGAAGCCTGCAGACCAATAACAGGTGGCTGGAGAGCAAAATCTGAGAACATCTGGAGAAGAGGGGGCTTCAGGTCAAGGACTGGGAGCATTATTTCAAAACCATCAAGGAGCTGAGAGCCCAGATCTTTGCGAGTTCTGTAGACAATGTCTGCATCATCCTGCAGATTGATAATGCTTGTCTTGCTGCTGATGACTTTAGAGTCAAGCATCAGACAGAGTTTGCAATGTGCCAGTCTGTGGAAACTGACCTCCATGGGCTCCAAAAGGTCACTGATGACACCAATATTACTCATCTGCAGCTGGAGTCAGAAATTGAGGCACTAAAGGAGGAGCTGCTATTCATGAAGAAGAACCGTGAGGAGGAAGTCAAAGGCCTCCAAGCCCAGATTGCCAGCTCTGGGTTGACAGGGGAGGTGGATGCCTCTAAGTCTCAGGACCTCGGGAAGATCATGGCAGATATCTGGGCCCAGTATGAAGAGCTGGCTAAGAAGAACTGAGAAGATCTGGGCAAGTACTGGTCCCAGAATATTGAGGAGAGCACCACAGTGGTCACCTCTCAGTCTGCTAAGACTGTAGCTGCTGAGATGACACTCACAGAGTTGAGATGCACATTTCAGGCCTTGGAGATTGACCTGGACTCCATGAGAAATCTGAAAGCCAGCTTGGAGAACAGGCTTTGAGATGTGGAGACCCATCTATGCCATGCAGATGGAACAGATCAATGACATTCTGCTGCAGTTGGAGTCAGAGCTAGCACAGACCCGGCTGAGGGACAGTGCCAGAACCAGTAGTATGAGGCCCTGCTAAACTTCAAGGTCAAGCTGGAAACTGAGATCACCACCTACTGCCACCTCCTGGAAGACAAGGAGGACTTCAATCTCAACGACACCAAAGTGCTCAGACACTGAGACAGAGAAACAGCAGACCTTTGGGAAACAGAGAGCCAAAAAAGTGCAGAGCTCCCCCCCCCCAAAAAAAAGAAAGTGAAGCAAACAAAACCATGAAAAGGCTGGCAGTACCAAACCACACAAGAAGAAAAGGCAAGAAAGTAGAGAGTAACACTGATTCAGCTGCACACAATCAAACCCTTATACAACAGACAACTAAATTACAGGAATCACCAAATACCTATTAACACTAACACTGCATTTTAATGGACTTAATAACCTCATCAAAAGACACTGCTTGGCAAATTGGAATAAAAAGAAAGATCCAACAATCCTGTGCCTAAAGGAGACCCATCTCATAGACAGAAAAAAGAATTGGATGAAGGTGAAAGGCTGGAAGAGGATGTAAAAGCCAATGGCCCCAGTAAACAGGCAGAGGTAGCAATTCTTATCTTGAATAAAGTAGACTACACACTTACATTGATCAAATGAGATAAAGAAGGACAGTCTATACTAATAAAAGGGGAAATACAACAAAAGGAAATAACAATTATCAACCTATATGCACCCAATGTCAATGCACCCAATTTCATCAAACATACTCTGAAGGACTTAAAACATATATAAACTCTAGCACAGTGATAGTGGGAGACCTTAATACTCCTTATCACCAATAGATAGATTATCCAAACAAAAAAATCAATAAAGAAATTTTAGAATTAAATCATACCATAGATCAAATGGACATAACTGACATCTACAGAATATTTCACCCAACTGCTGCACAATATACATTCTTCTCAGCAGCTCATGGAACCTTCTCCAAAATGATCACATCTTAGGGCACAAAGCAAGCCTCAGCAAATATAAGAAAATAGAAATAATCCCATGCATTCTATCTGACTACAATGCAATAAAAGTAGAAAGCATTTGTTGTCTGCACTCTAGAGGAATTAATACAGAAACCTTAAAGTGACAGAGGTCAATACAAGAAGGGGATCAGGAACCAGTGTAAAGATCTGTTACAGATGAATCAACTTGGGTTATTACACATTTGTACTTGAAAGCAATGCAAGGAATCTCACTGTATAGATGTCCTTATTTCAACTAGCAAAAATGCTATGTCGTTCTTCTTCTTATTTATTTCTACTGTTCAATGGAACTGGAGAAAAGCTCAGAACAGGTTTTTACTGGAAAGCAGCGTTGATGGGGAAGAAGGTGGGGGAAAGGGCAGGAGGAAGAAATAACCCAAACAATGTATGCACATGTGAATAAATGAATAAAAAAAAAAGTAAAACTTTTGAAGGATAATTTTAGTCATGATTACTATAAATAAATGTATCCCCAAGCAACAAAATATAAGTGATTTTTACTGAAAGTTTATTTCTATTTATGTTCTTAGTTCAAAACATGAAAGTTATTTTCAACATAATATTAAGATTTAATCTTTGTTAAGTCATGCTAGCTGTCAGCCTTGAGTTATTCAATTACATGGAGAAAATCCTTAGTTAATAAAAGTTTAATGCAATTTAAGCTTCCCAAGACTATTAAATCTCACAGTCATAATGTATCAAAAGCACACATCACTGTTAGATATTCAAAGGAAATCTGTTGGCATTCAATGATAATGATGAATGCAAATCTCTGTAGGTATAAAAGTAATGCAAAAATCAGGTAGAACACATTACAAGTCAGGAGGTGCAAAGTTTATCTTCACAGAACAGCTTCTGTGCATCTGAAATAATACCAGAAAATGAATTAAGAATTCGTGATGGCTAGACTCTTACCTCTAATAATGGAGAGTAACATGCTTATGCAGATAAAATAGAAACTGGCTGAATGTGCACACTTGGACAATTTAAATATTTGGCAGATGGTCTCTACTGTATTATTGTGGTCTTGTTCAAAGATAAACTTTTTAAAGATCAAATATATGTTGACCATGGCAAAACAGATGTTTGATAAATTACAGTGAGTGCCATTAGGTAAGAATAAAATGTAATCTAAGTAATCCAGATAATGATCTTTCTCAGTGATTAATACACCCTTAAAAAGAACTCATTTTTCATGTTTGCTTTCAATAAGGGGTGATTATGCTGATTAAATGACTATATTAAGCATTGTTTTTACTAAAACTTGTATTTTGATTCTACAAAAGGTATCTATTTATATAAGCATGTATACATACAGATAGATATAGGTATCTATATTTATTTATACAAAGAGCAAAATATTACCTATAATATAATCATATTTATATTACTTAAAATATAATTGAGATCCTCATAACATGAATTATTCAATTTACAGTTCTGGAGTTTTCCTTATTCAGGAAGTTCATTTTAAAATACTTTTTTATAAGGTGAACTGTCAATGATTCTTATGCTTTAAAAAATAAATAAATAAATGACTCTTTCTGGTACTAGGCTTTGAAATCAGGGTTTTGTGCTTGCTAAGAAGATGCTCCACCATTTGTGCCATGCCAACAGCCCTTTTTATTTCAGTTATTTTTTGAATAGATCTGGACAGGCCTAGATTGGAATCTTCCTATTTGTACTTCTTGAATACCGATGACAGGCTCATACCACTATCCCCACTTTTAATTGGTCAAGATGGGGCCTCTCTCACTGATTCCCCAGGCTGGATTTGAACCACATCTTCCTGTTCTCCAACTTCCAAATAGCTATTATAAAAATTTTTGATTAAAAAAAGGAGAATATAAAATGCCTCTTGACTAAACATGATGAAAATCATGGAAAGTTACAGTATTGGTACTTCAGTTTATCAGTAGTGAAATCGTAGATCATTATAATTTCAAAATGTAAATGCTTCTTTATAGTTTTGTTAAATTGAAAGGAAATGAGAGGAAGAGGGGAGTGAAAAAATGTAAGAGACAAAAACAAAGAAAGAGAAGAGTTAAGACAGAAAGGTGAAAAGGAGCTAGAAGAAGGACGAGAAAAGGAGATTTAGTACTGGTAGGTATCAATATTTTTTAACAAACAAAGACTGAAAAAATATAAACTCCTATTTGAGTTCTACACCAACATTAAACTATGTGACCTCATATCCCCCAAATACTTCTTTTATCTCAAAATAACTCATTAGAATTTGTGATCATTTTATAAGACATCAAAAATAAAAAGGAGACAAGAAACATGGAAAAGTAGGTTATATCAATAATCACATGCAAGCCATGAACTAATTAGAACAGCAATTTTTATCACCAGAATGTTGTGTTCCAGAAGCAAAAAGAACATACAAATATTGCCCTCATGGATCTTATAGGTATTATGGAATTACTGTAGTCCCATCTTAACCAATTAAAGATATATTGCAACATTTCCTTTGGATGCTCTCTCGAAATGCAAATAACACATTAACTTATATATAGATTTTTTCTTATAAATAAATACTAATGATAAGTTTTAACTTATAAATTAGAGACAGCAGGAGATTGGCAACAATAACTACCAATAAAATACAATAATTACAATAATGCACTATCATAAAAGTGATACAGCCTATACAGTGTGGATTTGCTGGCCAAAGAGATGACTCACATCCCTGGAAGGATGGAGCAGGATGGCACAAAATTTCAGGCTGCTTCTCAGAATTCAATTTAAAACACATGCGATGTTTATTTCTGGGGTTTGGCACTAACATTTTTGGCCTGCAATTTACCACAAAACTGAAGTTGCAGAAAACAAAAGTGTGGATTAGGGAAAGCAATTGTATTCATATTTTAGGACTGCTATCAAAAAGCTCCACTAATGGAGTGACAGAACAAGAGAATTTTTGTAGTATATAAAGAATTACTTATTTACATTTAGACAGATTTCAACCTTTAAGTCTTCTGCACATGTATAATAAAAAGGTCTGAATTTTTGCATTCTGGGTCCAGTTTTTCTGATTTATTTTCTTTTTTTAAATATTTTGGGCAGCACTGAAGTTTGAACTTAGAGTCTTACACTTGCTAGGTAAGTGCTCTATCACTTGAACCACATCTCCAACTCTTCTAAATTATTTTCTAATTATTATTGTCAACCATATTTCTTTCCATACAATATAGTACTATGTGACATTGAAGCTGTTGATGATGTAGCAATCCTTCTCTTGAGGAAATCCTTTTCCCAGAATCCTTTTCCAAGACATTGACCTCCTATTCTATAAATTTGAATGTTGGCACTTTCTTATTTCTGAAATCATCTTTTCATCTTTTCTTAATACATTCACATAAATCTCAAAGGTATGCACCTACTGCTTAAGGCACAGGATGTCTCTGACAAATTGATATTCATGTCTTAATGATGATCCTGAGCAATATGTGATCAGGCTCTCATTACTTTAAAATGTCTTTCATCTCTTCTGTGGGATTTAGCCAATTCTCATGTCTACAGCTCCTTTACTCAGTATGTAATAGAGAATATTTTTGCACAAATCTCAATAACAAAATATATCAAAGTCTCACCTGCCCATGCATCATCTTCAATTTCCATTAAGAACTCAATCATTTTTTGAAATAAATTATTAAATTGTGATTATTGTTCTTAGAATGATGCTATCACCATGATTCTGTTTAGTATACCTGAGCATAAAATGACTTAATGTTCCAAGTGCATTCATAGCAGCATTGTTAAGCAGAGATAACATGCACCAATACTAATCCCTATGAAGGGAATATCATGCACTCATTAACAGCCCAGGGTAGGACCTGAACACTTCACTAACACGTATTAAGTTCCCCAAGTCTGGCAGCTGTATCTTCGTCATACAGAAGCCAGAGTTCTGCAAAAATTCTTGACATGTCAGAATTTTACTTGCCTCACAGAAGATCTAGCTTCCATAGCAGTCAGATCTCCACAACTTGCGTTTTTAGGTCAAATCTAAGGAGAGAAATACTGGCAGAAGGAGTTAGGCAAAGTAACTTCATGACTTGCCAACAAATAACAAATAATTAATAGAAACCTAAAGTCCATGGTGAACCAGCACACCAGGCTGATAAGGGCTGTGTGGGGGGAAGT